TGTCCTCCGGGCTCCCCCTCTCCTCCTGCCCCCGTTGTGCTGCCGGAGCCGCCGCCTCGGATCCACCGTGAACCCGACGTAAACTCGGCCCCGGGCCCGGCCCTGAGGGGCGGCGGAACGGAGCAAATACACGGCGCGCATGGCGGCCATTGCAATCCCACAACGCACCGCGCGGCGTGAGGCGACTTCCGGTGTGGAGCTGCGGCAGCACTTCCGCCTCGGTAAGGGAGAGATAAAGACTTCCGCCTCGCTACCCACAATGCTTTGCAGGGGTGTAGACAAAAGCTTCCGCCTCGGTAAGTAAGAAAGACTTCCGCCTCACTACCCACAATGCTTTGCGGGGGTGTAGCCAAAAGCTTCCGCCTCGGTAAGATGGCGGCGGGTTTGCCGCGGTACCCACAATGCTTTGCGTTGCCGTGAGGCGGTTTCGGTGTTATGGCGGCGGTTTTGCCTCGGTGGCGTTGAGGAGGTTTTTTTCTTCCTTCCCACAATGCATTGAGGAGGAGGAGGATGAGGAGGAAGAGGAAAACAAAAATCTCGTATGATGTGCGGCCTTCAGCCTCGGTAGAATACTAAGAAGTTTGCCTCGCTACCCACAATGCAGCGCGGTACGTGAGGGGAACTTCCGCCTCGGTAAAAGGGCTCCTGGTTTGCCTCGGTACCCACAATGCACCGCGATTGGGAAAGATTGGGGCCTGCTCTGGTCAATTCTGGAGTCATGGATGTTCTTAGTGGGGTAAATTCTCCCGTACTGGTCCAAACTGGTTTGTACTGGTCCAAACTGGTCCCTACTGGTGTCCCTGGTGCCCTTAGTGAGGTCAATTCAACCGTACTGGTCCAAACTGGTCTTCACTGGTCTCGCAAATGTAATGGGAGCCCCTCACTTCCGCCTCGTTACCCACAATCCCCTTCGAAACAATCACTATTGCCTCGCTACCCACAATCCACTTCGAAACACTCACTTTTGCCTCGTTACCCACAATCCACTTCGAAACAATCACTTTTGCCTCGTTACCCATAATCCTCTGCTTTTATTTCCGCCTCGGTAGCCACAGCACCCAGCGCGGAGCGGAAGTGACGCACGCGGAAGCGGAAATGGATCCCCCGACAGCGGAGGAGCTGCGGGAGCGGCTCCGCGAGCGGCTCCAGGCTGAGCACGTGGTAATTAATTAATTAATTTGCCCCTAATTAGCTCCGCCTGGGGTCTCATTAGGCTGGGGAGGGCGTTAATTATCCGGGAGGGGGGATAATGAGCGGCTATTGGGCATTAATTAGGCGGGGGAGGCTCTAATTCGGGCGTTAATGAGGGTTGAGAGGGGTTAATTAATGTTGGGAGGTGTTAATTAGGGGCTTAAAAGCAGCTGTGAGGGTTAATAGTTAATCAGCGTTAATGAATCAGTGTTAATTAAGGATTTATTAAAGTCAGAAATTACTTAATTGGTGCCTAATGGTGCCTAATTAGCGCCTAATTAATGCTAATTAATGGTAATGGTGGCTAATTAGTGATTATCTGCTGTTAATTAGCAGTTCGGGGTGTTAATTAATGGCTAATGGGAGTTGGTTAGCTGTCAAGGCATCTTCATTAGAGTTTAAGGTTCCTAATTAGAGCCTAATAGGTGTTAATTAGCGTCTAATGAGTGATAATTAGTGCTTAAGGGGAGTTAATTAGAATTCAACGCATGCCAATTAATATTTAATTGCTGTTAGTTAGGGGATGAGGGCATTAATGAGTGGCTAATGAGCGTTAATTACTAGTCCATTAATTTTTAATTAATGATGAAGGAATATCAATTAACAGATAGCATGTCTTAATTACCATTTAGTAGGTGATAATTAGAGCGTAACAGCAGTTAATTATTCTCTAAAATTAATGAATGCATTAATTACTAATCAGCAGCTAATTACCGACCCGCGGAGTGGTTAATCAGCGCTAATTAACCCTAATTACCTAATTAATTGCAGGACGTGCAGGACAACCCCCAGCTCTGCCCGGGCAGTTTCCGCGTTTTCGTCGTTTCCGGAATTTTCCGAGGCCTCAAAACCCTGCAGAGGCACCGGTGGGGGCGGGGCCTAAAGGGGGCGGGGCTTAAAATTGCCTTTTATGGGAAGAGGGCGTGGCTTAAGTCGGATTGGAATGAGGAAATGGGCGGGGTTAAATCTTGCCTTTTATGGTAAAGGGGCGGGGCTTAAGGGTGCCTTATATGGGGAAGGGGGCGTGGTTTTAATGGCGACAAATTGGGGCGTGGGCGGGGCTTCAAGCTGCCTTATATGGGGAAGGGGGCGTGGCTTACGTGGAATTTAAATGCAGTGATGGGCGGGGCTTAAACGGGTCTTATATGGGAAAGGGGCGTGGCTTAAGTGGGGTTTGAATGGGAGGGGCGTAAACTGGCCTTTTATGGAAAGGGGGCGGGGCTAACTCTTGCCGTATATGGGGAAAGGGGGCGTGGTTGTGATGGGGTTTAATTGGCTAAAAGGGCGTGGCTTGCTTGGGGTTTAATTAGGAAAGGGGCGGGGTCTAAATGTACTTTACATGGGGAAAGGGGCGTGGCTTAGTGGGGTTCAAATGGGGAAATGGGCGGGGTTAAATGTTGCCTGTTATGGGAAAGGGGCGGGGCTTAAAGGCGCCTTATATGGGGAAAGGGGCGTGGTTTTATTGGGGAGTGAGCGTGGCTTAAGTGGGGTTTAATTGGGAAATGGGCGGGACTTAAGTGGGCCTTATATGGAAAAGGGGGCGTGGCTTAAGTGGGCTTAAATGGGAGAATGGGCGGGGCCTAACCAGGATTTATATAGAAAAGGGGGCGTGGCTTAAGTGGGTTTACATGGGAAATGGGCGGGGCCTTATATGGCAAATGGGCGTGGCTTAAATGAGGTTTGGTTGGAAACAGGCGGGGCTTAAATGGGCAGGAATTAATGGGTTAATTAATTAATTGGTTAATTGATGGGTTAATCAATGGCTTGATTGAAAAGGGGGTGGAGCTTAAAGGGATTAAGGGGAGGGGCCTAAGTTGGGTTTAAAGGGGAGGGGCGGGGCTTGCTGAGGGGATGAATGGGTTAATTAATGAGGTAATTAATGGGGTGATTAATGATCTAATTAATGGGGATGTGGATTCATGGGAAAGGGGGTGGAGCTTAAACCAGGATTTATTAAAGGGTGCAGGTCCGAGGCGTTCATTAATTGTTAATTAATGGAATAATTAATGGCTGCTGGAGTAGTTAAGGGGGTTAATTAGTGCCTAATTAACACGCAGGCTCGTTAACGAGGCGCTGGGGGAGGAGCTGGGGCGGATCCACGCCCTGGAGCAGAAAACGCTGACGCCGGAGCAGTGGGAGGAGCAACAGCGCGGCTCATTAGCATAAATTTGCATATTTAATTATCACGTTGATCAGGGCCTTCAATGGAAGGGGGGTGGAGAATTTGTGTCTGATTTGCATAAATTTGCATAATGGGAATAAAGGATCTTTGCGAGGGTGATTGCGTCATGGTGTGTTGAGTAAATTTGCATAAATTTGCATAATTGGCGGGTCGTGCCAAGGTGGGAGGGGGCCCCAGTGCTCCCAGTTTGGGATCCCAGTGCTCCCAGTTTGCATCCAAGGCCTCCCAGTGCTCCCAGTTCGGCTTCCCAGTGCTCCCAGTATGGACTCAAGACCTCCCAGTTTGGGCTCCCAGTGCTCCCAGTTTGGGTTCCCAGTGCTCCCAGCATGGACCCAAGGCCTCCCAGTGCTCCCAGTTTGGGTTCCAGGATTCCCAGTGCTCCCAGTTTGGATCCAAGGCCTCCCAGTGCTCCCAGATTGGGTTCGCAGTGCTCCCAGTATGGACCCAAGGCCTCCCAGTGCTCCCAGTTTGGGTTCCAGGATTCCCAGTGCACCCAGTTTGAGCTCCCAGTGCTCCCAGTTTGGATCCAAGGCCTCCCAGTGCTCCCAGTTTGGGTCCCATTGCTCCCAGTGCGAGCCCCTGGCCCACCCAACCGGGTTTCTCGCGGTGCATTGTGGGTACCGAGGCATTTCCGCTTAATCCCGGAAATTTCCGCCTTTTCCACAGTGCATTATGGGTAACGAGGCGGAAACAACCCCTCATCCCGCAGTGCGTTCTGGGTACCGAGGCATTTCTGCAGAATGCCGGAAGTTTCCTTAGTCCCTACGGTGCATTATGGGTAAGGAGGCGGAAGTAGCCCCTAATCCCGCGGTACACTGTGGGTACCGAGGCATTTCCGCATAATGCCGGAAGTTTCCTTATTCCCTACGGTGCATTATAGGTAAGGAGGCGGAAGTAGCCCCTAATGTCGCGGTGCACTGTGGGTACCGAGGCATTTCCGCATGATGCCGGAAGTTTCCTTCGTCCCTACGGTGCATTATGGGTAACGAGGCGGAAGTAGTCCCTAATCCCGCGGTGTGTTATGGGTACCGAGGCACTTCCGCTCCATGCCGGAAGCCTCGCCGTTCCTTCTATGCATTATGGGTAACGAGGCGGAAGTAACCCCCATAAATCCCGCGGTGCACTGTGGGTACCGAGGCACTCTCCGCACAGGTAACCCCAAACCCCGCCCCACCCCTACGGACAGGTGCGCTCCACCACACCCAACCCCAGTATAAAACCGGTTCCAAACCAGTTTAAACCAGTTCGCTCGGGGCAGCCATGGCGGCGCTGGCTCTCGGGGTAGCCCTCGGGGGGGTTTTGGTAGCCACGCTGGCCCGGGCCCGGTCCCGGCGGGGCCCTGAGGGGCCCAGATTGGAGCG